TTAGCAATAGATTTTCAGGATTAAGGTAGGCAACTTTGTATACAAATTGACGATTAGCAATAGATTTTGGGAACCCTTGAATTCTCTTATCAAATATTGCCAGCGGACGTCCGTACCATAGAATACTATAGTATTCTATGTCCGTACATATTCTGACGTCTGCATGTGAACCAACCGCGAATTAAAATAACGGCGTAATTTATCAAACATTAAAATTATTATATAAAGCTGGTAATATGCAGTCCGCTATCTAGTTGTTTTTTATACGTCGATGTGCTGGTTATATCACAGACATATAATAGTTTGTATTTTGTTTTTTTTATATATTCGTGGTGTACACAGTCTGTTATTATTATTATCATTATATGATAAGTAGTAATATTCTGTTATCACTTCTACGTGATTGCGGTGCCCAATGACGTTACAGAACGCGGATCGTATGATTCGGGAAGGTGATCTGAGTTGCTTTATTGTTGGCACCTCCGTTCCGATGTTTTTAAACGATGCTTATCAATAACGGTGTTCGGCGCTCGTCAAATACTCAAATAACAAATAAAATTAACTGGCAAAGTGGCAACGAACAAGTACGGAGTCGACTCAAGACCGAAAATAAAATATAAAAATACGTTTCGGTAATTTATGACAAACCCGATTCCCGTCTTATTCTTGGCTTATTTTACCATACAAAAAGTATCAAAAATGTTGTTCCTAGTTGGATTTTTCACTAAATATCCCGGTCATCTCATGATGGCACCTATAATTCCCGTCTAGGTAGTACATCGAAGTTCAACCTATACAATTGTGTTAACCACATCATAGTTGAAGATACGGTTGAATTTTAATATATTTTTGTACTTTGGTGTGTCCAGATCTCTGAGGAGAGATCCCATGGATTCGAGTAATGCTGCAAACGTTTCAGATGACGAAGAATCGTTTTATGGCGTTTTTGTGGATACTGACATTGACGACAGCAGTAAGTTTTGTCTAATTTTTTTTTTAAATTTAAATTAATACCCTCGTTAATACCATTATTTTAAACCATAGGCACTCCTAGAGTGTTCACTAATTTTCAAGAAACACTTTCTGCAGTCAAATCCAACAAAACCGCCAGATTCAAGCTGTTTAGATCAGCAACTGAAGCTGAAAGATTTAGCGTCTTTGGGCAAGAAATACCTATAAAACAGATAGAAAAAAGTACACCTAATGCATCTACTAGTTTTACTTTTAAGTCTTTAAAATCTGAAGATCTGGTTGCATTTCGTCGTCTAATTGAAAGCGGAGAACTAGATAAAGTGAAACTGGCTGTGAATTCAAATCCGAGGTTTCTTGTTAGCAGTGGTGATACACCATCAATAATTCAAGTAAAATATTTTAAAGCTAGATATTATATTGAGGGTCTATTATTAATAAAACTTTCACTCCTACACTATTTATTTTGCAATCTGTTTAAAACTTAAAACTTATAACTTAGTTTTTATTTTAAATATGCTTTATATTTTATAAACTGTTAAGCTTGGATATGTTTTTAATTTATTCACCTTGCAGTTTTGTATTCAAAATAGTTATATCTAATAAATGTAGGTTTTTTTAAACTTTTAATTTATAAGCTTATTAAATTTACTAAATAAAATTTTTTTTTCTAGGAAGGATGTCGGTATAATGCTATGCATGTAGCGGCTCGATTTGACCAACCACAAATTGTTCATTTTATAATGGAGTGTGTTACTAGTTCAGACTTTATAAAAAGTTTATATGGTACGGAACAATCATATCTATCACGGAGTGAAATCATTGCAGATTTGTACTTGAACACACCTGATAAAGCTGCAAATGATACACCTCTACATATTGCTTCAAAATTTGGCCATGTGGATGTAGTAAAAGAGCTTATTTCGTATGATCAATGTATATTAACATCTCTAAATAAATATCTTCAAACTCCTAAAGATGTAAGTTTTACTAATGAATTAAATTGTTCTTCAAAACTAAAATATCATATAAAATAACATAGGTTATATGCTCAAGAAACAACAAGGAAATGTATAATGATATATTACACTTATTAGAAAATGGATATTTTGTACCAATGTTTAAATCTGATGATGATTGTGTTCAACCGACAATTGGTAAACCATTTTCACCTAAATCCTCAACAATAATTCCACCATTACAGGTGATAATTATAATATATTTTAAAAAAATTACAGTGAAAACGATTACATTTTATTTTATTATTTTCATTTAGAATGACAATCCTAAATCATTAAATCCTATACTTGAGTTAAGAGCAGTGGCTGGACCAATGAATGAATCACAAGCCCTAAATTTTTGGAAGGATTGGAAATCACCAGTGAGAAAAACACTTTTATCTCCTTCACCAAAAAAGTATTCTTCAAGCCCAAAACAAAATGAGTTTAAAAATAAAAGTATTGAAAAAGCAGGAAGGTAATTAAAAATTATTTCTTATTTTTGATTAGTTGATTATTGTTGATTAGTTATAAATGATTGTTTATTTTAACAAATTATAGAGATTTAGCTGAAAAAAAGAATGTTGGTTGGGCTGAATATTGGCCATTCCTTGATAAAATAGTAGATCTTAAATCAAATAAAGGTTTAGATTTACTTGAAAAATACTTGAAACAAAGATTTAGTATAAAAGAACAAGATTTTCCTGTTAAAGCATCGCCACGAGCTGCTTTACTAAGTCCTATGGATGAATTGTGTAAGGCGTTGGAGTCTATGCGAATTGGAGCTATTCTAAATAGACGAAGCCCTCGAGAAAATACTGTTGTGTCTTATACTTGTGTTGTAAAATCTTGTAAAGTATGTGTTGACTAAAGCAATTTTATTAATTTATTAAAGTTAATATAAATTATTATTTTTTAGGTTTTGGCAGAGCGTTTATCTAATGTAATAATATCTGAAAATAAAAATATGCTAGGCATTGAATCATTAGCTATTCGGTTATGTCATGAAGTTAGACATTTAATGGTTTTGGAAGATAGCTTTTACTCTGATAGTCGTTTTGATTCAAAGGTTAAAGGAAGAATTCATGGAAGAGTAGCTGAGCATCTTTGTCAATTGTTAATTAATAATTTGGAACTTGTCAGCAATGTTTCTTTAATAGTTACAAAACTTCAAAAGTATTATGCGTGAGTAAATTTCAGAATTTTTTTTATTATTTCACTCAAGAGAACATGTCTCCGAGTATTGTCTTTGAGGTTGTCTCTGTCTTGCAAATGTATAATATAAAAATAATTTATATACAACTGTAATATTAGAGGGAGTTGATGTATTATATAACTTAAAGTTAAGAATTTAATCAGTGTTTGGATCTTTGTTTATTACTATATTTTGATTTTTAAGAAAATATGAGCATTCTAAAATTGTAATGTTATATACAGTATTATTACTGATTATCCACAAAATAGCCACAGCAACTGCAGATTAGAACATTTCATACTAAGTGCAAATTGAAACAAAAGTATTATTTTTATATGATAATAAATGTTATTGTGTTATATTAAATAGTATTTTAAATAAATTAGACAAATGCAGAGCAGAAAATCCACTTGCAGATATTTAAAGGTGTACTATACTAAAAATTTGCTTAAAAATTTAAATATCATTTAAATAAACCAACTCGTTAATAGATAGTGTTCTTACATTTAAGTTTGATAATAGAGAGCAATTTACTTTAATATTAAAACTGATAAAAAATTGATTTTCTGAAGTTAAATTTAAGATTTTCTCCCTGTCCTGTAGTATCAGCCAAATTTGATCATTTCAAACTAATAGAGCCGCACCTAATATTTTACTGATTGTATTGAACTCCAATAATTAATATTTTAATCTCTAGCTTTATAATAGGTAAGTCTTTAAAAATAAGACTATTTTAACCTTTTTTTAACAAATTATTTTTTCTACCATTACCTAAAATAAAAATTAAAGTTCAATGCGGTCTAACTTTTTCAGATATAAAAATATTTATCAAAATCCGACAATTTTACAAGCCCTGAGAATTTTTGGTGTGAAATCATTTTTGTCGATACAGTACGCCATATCAACCCCCCTCACCAAGTAGAAGTCAGGCATTAGAGTAGTGGGAAAGTATTATAATTAAGGTGGCAACTAAAATATATAATATCATTTTTAAATCTTATAGACTGGTGAAAAATGTATTAAACTAGCACTGGCTCACTAAACCCCTTAATGGATATTATTTGACTATTTATAATTTATATTGAAAAATTGAAACTTCTAGATGCTATTGACAATAAACTTTAAAAAAAACCTTACAGTTATTCTTAGAGTTCATTATTCATTGCTTTATAATTTATAATGAATAATTTATTTTAAATGTGTACCTACAGTTGTTGTAATAGTAAATACCATTATATTTTTATTTATTTATCGAGTGTTAAATATTACTTACATAAAAAGTCATTAGACAAATCTGGTTGTTAACAATGGAGTAATGAGTAGTAGATAATAATTTGTAGTATACTTGTAGCCTGTAGGTATTCTCAACCTTCCAAAACTTCAAATTAATTATCATATTGACTAGATATATTATTTAAATTGCATTCTTATCGACTTGTTTATAAAAATATATTACAGATGTCATGCAATTGGGAGTCGTAGTGAAATCACTGGAGCTTGCTTGGTAACTCAAATACATAAGATTCTAACTGAAAAGTCTTCTATTATACATAATATGCAATCTGATGATGATGATGAACTAAGTTGTAAGCAATGGTTTTTGACAGCTGTTCCTTGTTTATGTAATATTGAAACTAAAAGGTTAAAACCAAAACAACTATTCTGTGGTAAGTATACAAAATATTTAGTTATTAATTCAGACAGATAGGACATACAGTTGTATTTATTAAACATAAATATATTGTTATATTTCTGAGTTATGTTTAAGTTTTAAGTTAAGTTTTGGATGATAAGAAGATTGTTAAATGTAACAGTGGTCTGTTTTTTTAAGAAACATATTATCATTGAGTATATACTATCTATACTCAATGATATTATGTGGTCAGATTTAGAGATTGATGCAAATGGTGCTGTGTTTTGTAAGATATGTTCTTTTCTACATTGACAAAATATGCTTAAGCTTGTTATGTATTTTTTTCCAATTGTAATGCCATTATTTCTTGCTTTTTGTATTTTTGTCTTATTTTAACAATTTTATGCTGTTATAGGAGCCTTAGATATTATTTTGCTATTACAAATTAGGAAGTTCAAAAAATAGTTTAAATAATTTATTTGAATTAATATACTCTATAACAGGGATGGGTAACTCAAAGTTACTAGAGGCCAATTTTTGGAAAATTAAAATTTATCGGGCTAGAGCATTGAAAGCAAAAAAAGGGGGGGGGGGTTATTTAAAATTTACCTTTTAATTGGTGTTAAATAGATTATAGAGTATAGATGATAAACTTTAAAATTGTATGATGTAATTTAAAAATGTAATTCGAGACAGATAAAAAATACTCGTGAGTCGCCAGTTGCTCACCCTTGCTCTATAAGAATGATCCGTATACGTATAAGTATTATGTTATTGACTTTTGTAATATTACTTGTTATTTGTATCAATTATAATAGTTTCATATTAAAGATATTTAATTTTTCCTTTAGTTACTTTTTAGCACCTTTGTCTTGTACCTAAGTTTTAATATTATATATTTTATTTTAATTAGATGATGGACCTGTTAAAAGACTAAATGAGATTGAAGAATCAAAAAATGTCACGAATGGTAATCATAAATTTCAAGAATTAAATTAAAATATTAGTTGAAGAATTGTTTTATTCTTATTGTTAACCTTTTCACTGCTACACTAATTATGCTCTGCAACCTATCTATGCTTCATAAAATAAAATTTTTATTTTTATTTTAGAAAACTAAATTGAACTTATTATTTAAGTTTACAATAATGCAAGCCAGGGGTTGTTTCTAAATTGTACAATTGATAATATTAAAATATATAAGAACTCAATTAATTGTCTGGAGCAGTGAACGGTGTAAAATTTTTGGATGTAATTGTACATCTGGAGCAGTGAAAGGGTTAAAACGTTGAAAGGACAATTCATAAGTTCAACTCATGAAAGAAGAGAATTATTATCAAATGGTACAAAATAACTAAGATTGTGTCTATTTATTTTTGCCTAACATTTTTAGGCTATGACTCAGATAATGATGTTTTTTCAAGTGCCCCTACAAGTCCATGCAGTGAATATTCTTCGTCAGATGAATCTGACGAATCAAATATGTATCATAACGCTGAGCGTGATTTTTCTTACTTATTATTTTCAAGGTAACTATTTTAATAGCATTTTAGATTTTGAACAAAGCAATTAAATTTAGTTTTACAATTAGGAATAATATTAGATTTTTTCTATTTTGTTACGGCCTTGTAGACCAAAATCAAACACCCAAACACAACTGTCTCCATCCATTTTGCTTTTGTCCTAATACATACCAATCTAGATCCTGGTGGAAGTTTGCAACATCTCCTTGACAAAGTCCTCCCAGCGCAATCATTTTTCTCTCTTGGATATCTTCACCAAAGTTTCTGATATCCTCCACAAACAACCTGCCCATTCCAGTCTTCCTTTTAATCTCATTTATTATACCTGGTCCATTATAACGTTTCTTAGATCTATTAGGTTTCTTCAATATTGTATCTCTTACCACTTTTCTATTTGTGGATCATTTGTATCTTCCATAGTATTTTCCATTCAAAAACCCTCAATCTTAATACTTAACTCCTCAGTCTTTCTTTAAGTTTAATACTGTGACTCGTACATTACTATCAATCTTATCAGAATGATATAAAGTTGCTTTGACTTACATAGGTTGTTCATTACACTTGTTTCCCATTTGGATCCTTTTTAGTAGCTCAGTTTATATTATTTCATTGCTCCTGGATATTTGAATAGTGTAACATCTTTGAAATGATAGGATCTCAACTTAAGTCTTTTCTTCCTTTCCCTGTCTTCTGATTTCCATTTATTCTGTTTTTTTCATTTATACGAAATCCTAATGGCGTGTTTCAAAAAACAAATTGGTGTAATTTGGTGGTTTTCATAATGTTGTTACACCTACCGATAAAATGTACTATTTTCCTTCAATCAATACTCACCCATCCATATTTAATGTGTTGCAACACTTGCACTTGATGTTACCAAATGTCTACTTTCTTAGCTGCTTCTATAAGTATTATGCATAAGTTTCTCACTGTATTAAATATTTATTTAATTCTCTATTACACCATATTGTCTGCATACTCTAAAAAATGTATTGATGTTCTTATATTGCTTTTATTTTATTTTAAACAATTGTTCATATAATGCATATTGTGTCTCAATTGAGAATAATCCATCTGGCAGACCGATTTACGTAAGTGCTGTGCATCTCCTACCAACTTCCCAATGTTAGCTTGATCATGTGGTTCTCATGCTCCAATCAATCGTTCATGATGCTCAAAAAGTGATTGTTCTCTTTTGAGACAAAGTATATTATATGTTATTAACTATTAAGGTTATGCTTCAATTTTTTTTTCACAATAAAAATGAAATACTTTTATTTTATAAAGAACAAAAAAAGTTAAATTTAGTATACTCTGTCCCAAAAAAAGAAGACATGTATTTATGCAATACAAAATGGAACTAGTGATTGTTTAGATTCTTTTCTTTTGGAATGAAGTATATTGTTTAAATAATAATATAATAATACAATATTATATATAAAATATTGGATAATTGTTACTAATTTTGATGGCTTTAAAATGATAAATAATCCATAAGTGGAATATTTTTTTTTCAGGGATTTACCAATAGACTATGATTATGAAATATTTGATGCCATTAATGGCATAAACGTAGACTCCGACAAATATCCATGGTTATATAGGTGGTTGTATTCAATGAATGACTACAATAAATTAAACAATCTGTGATACAAAATAAATGTTATGTATGTCTTTTATGTGATGATTTATTTATAAGTAGAAAATACTATATTTTATTAAATTTAAAATGTGTTTATAAGTTTTTATAATAAATTTAAATACCTAACTAAATGTTGTTAGTATTAAATATTGTAATCTATTTTTAATGTTTTTAATTATTTTGAGTAAGTGTTTTTTTTGTAATAATTTATTTTGATCAATTTTTTTTCAAATTCTAAAGGGTAATTTTTGATGGTGTTGACTGTTGCTCATAAAATAAATTATGCTAAATTTCTATTTTTGAGATTAAATTGTATTGTAAATGTATCATAATATAATCATATAGAATTCTGATACTACAATATAGAAATGTTTTTGGCACAAATCATTTTCATGATTCATGAAGTATCTTGATATGCTTATTGATCCTGACAATATTGATTTGTCATTAGTCACTTGGAATCGTTTTATGTATTATTTATATTATATTAAGAATATATATTTCTTGGTTCTATCAAAGAACTGAAAACAATGATCAAAGTTATTTAAATAAGTTGTTACCATGAGACCTTATTTATAATAATATAATTATTTAAAATTAAATTCAAATTCAAATATCACATTTTTTTTCTTTCTCATGGTTTTTTGGTTTTAAATTCAACTTATTGAATTTAATTGTATTTAAATGTATTTTCCCGATGATGTGACTGGTGTATTCTTATTTTTGTAATTTACCTTCCTTAACGTGATCATGTGTATTTCATTTTTTTTTTTTGTACAAACTACTCTACAATACTTTTTCATTGATATTATACCCATCTATCAGTCTAAGTAAAGATTGTAGGAATTGTAATAAATAATAATTACAGACCAACTATTTGAACATTCATTCGTTGTTGTTCCCTAATCAGTCATTAAAAATCACTGTAACTGAGCTGCTAAGCTTTTTGACGATGTTAAACGTAGACCTATTAACAATTGTTTTTCTTTATTATTGAATACCTATTAGATAATATTTTTGTAAAAAAAATAATTTTGTTGATGCTTTGTTGCATCTTTGGACTAATAAATACATTTATGATAATCTGGTTATTAATTATAAACATGAATAATAGTTTAATAATCATATATTAAAAAAAATACATAAGTACCCATACCAACTGCATTAAATGCACTTATTAAATGTATATTTAAGCTAAGACCATATTCAACAACGTTATTATAAAAAGAAATCAATGTTTTATATATATGTGCACATAATTCTTGTGTTCATGGGTAAGTTTAAATATATATTTAAGTGAAAAATATAGGTACCTATATTACACCTACCTAAGAAATATGATAACTACAAAAATCTGTGAGCTTTTAATCAACATTACACTTATTTTCTATTCGACATAAAGTACATAAAATATGCTTGATTAATAACATATTAATAGGTACCTACATACTAAAAAACAAAAAATAAAAGCTTACCTATACATCTCTTAATTATTATTTTTTTAAATAACCAATAACGAACAAAATCAATTTTGTTGAACACTGGTTTTGCTTAAATGACTGGTACCTATTCCGTTTTCCAGCAGTTTTTTTTATTTATTTTCTCCTAATGACATGGGTATTTAAAAAATAATTGTTTTCTTTCGATCCTCTCCCCATTCGCAGCTAAAAAAAGTACCGATCATCTGGATCTAGTTCTCTGCAATAAATCACTTTCTGCAATATTGAAAATTCGGGAATTTGTTTAGTCTTAGAACGTGTCGTCGTGACTCATGAAAACCATAAAATATTAATTATTATGGTACCATTTTGAGTTTTATTTTCAAAAACAAGAATTTAAAATGTGAAAAATAAGTACCACATATTCAAGTTATATAGTAAATAGTAATACATTATAGGTAAGCGGCTACTACATAATGTGATACATTCATATATTATTAGCATAGTACTACAATGCATTATTAATGCTACTGCCAATTTAATATTATACCATTCGATGCGTTTCATAATATTTTCATCCAGCCTTGACCGGAAGCAAATTCAACTGTATTCCTCCGTCCTTTATGTCCCTCTGCACCGACGCCGGCCGGGCAATAGTTTTTAAGTAGTAGGTGAGAGCGGCTTTCAGGTCCTTGTTCTCCTGTGCTGCTTTTGTTCGTCTGGCGTCGAGCTCCTGACACTGTACATCTACTCGAGCGTAACGCTTCCAGAATTTCGACATTTTATCGAATTCCTAAAATGAACACTATTATTAATAATTATTAAACATTACAATGTGTAAGGTGTTTCTATTGTCATTGATGCTGGTCGTGATTACAATTTATGACTACACGACGTGTAGGTATTGTTGTTTATACACAATTCGGTTTTTTTTATTCACATAAAAATATATAACAAGTAAATAAGAAATAAACTGTCTTCTATAAATTTGTTTTAATTTTCCAAGCCAATTTTTTCTTGATTTATGAAATTCATTAATTGCACTGATGTACCTATTCTTACATTGTTTTTTACAGTGATTTTGTAATAGGGGTTTTTTTTAAACGACACTAATATTATATATTATTTAATAAACACCTAAGAAACCAACCTAGTGTAGAACAATTTAATTTTCTTAGTATAAAAACAATTTTTTTCCAAATTTGAATTAGATATATATTTGAAGTGTGTTTTGCATTAAAAAAAAAAAACCATCCTGCAGTATAACAATTTATAATAGTATTAATAACATGCAAATATGTAGTACACTAATATACTAATGCATTAAATCGAACCGTAGGTTAATAATAATATGTACCGTGTGTATTTAATATTTTGATATAATATATATGTTACATTATGTATAGGTATACTTAAAGCCTATTAGGGACGTAGGCCGTTGGGTATTATAGTCTATATTACACTCTACATAAAATATTCATATACGTACTCCTCCGTTATTGTCTTCGTCGGGGCAGACTATGTTATTATCATCGTCATTCATTAGTTTGGCACAATTTTCCGCTGTCTTAATTATTCTCTCGCCCTTTTTTGTAATGCTTGTTAATTTCTTAACACATCATCAACAAAAACAAATAATTTAATCTTTAAATAGAACAATAGTTATATTGTACCTAGGTATGCATAAACTTAGCCATCCTTACGTCGATAACGTTTTTGTATACTCTCGTCATTGCTTCAAGTTTATTTTTATACTCGTTTCGCTTAACGGTCAGTTGATTTTGTGCCACGAAACCTCGTTTTATGAGGTCTTCACGGTCCTGTTTCAATTCGTTTTCTCGTTGTGCATACTGGGCTTCACGTTTGGCACACAGCTGTGTGAGCATTTTGATCTCTTCCTGTGTACATAATACAATACGTGTAATAACTAATGAGTAATGAGTATGAGTGCACAATATAATGCCACTGTGTCAGCTGCAGTCAGTAGGTGGGTTACTCAGGTAGGCAACCACTCAGTTCCTATTGATATTTTTATGTACCCATATATTATACGATATATACCATTATACTAGTACCTAGGTACCACTATATTGTATTATGGTCGACGAATCTATTTAATTAACTTCTACACCAATTTTTCGATTTCCTAGTCAACTTTTGTGATTTTGTAAGGTTTTTATTTAGTTTAAGCTATTAGTTTGAAGTAGCCTAGTACCTAGATACTTATTTTAACTATTATTTTCATTACCTACTGTTTTATTTTAAATGGAAATCTTGAAAAAACGTATTTTTATATGTCGAGCAATACCTATTTATATTTTTCAAAATAATTTGAATGTAGGTATCCACGAATATCCCAAAATTGAACAAATAATTTTTAATTAAATACATTTAGGTTAATATATGAAGGTCAAGAGTACTGCATTTCAGAATATAAAGCTATGGGCTTGTATGAAAAAAGTGAAGTATCAAAAATATGTTCTAAGATAAAAAACTTTAAAATTAGATTTTTGGCAGAAATTTAGTGTTATACCTAAGCAAAAGTGAATACGAAATTGCCTTTATTATATAGGTACAATTTAATTTTTAAAAAAGAATTGGGATTTTTACGTTAAATGGATTACTTTGTGATTGCATACCTACGTTTTAAGCTTAAGTGTAATCTATATTATACTGTTATAATGTTATTTGTTAAGTTAAAACATGAATATTGTATTGATATAAAGATAAATGGATTATATTTAGCAAGCTACAACACTGCATTGCTTGTTGACAGTAATTTAAGTATCCATTGTGTTTGTGTTTGAATTTTATTTATTACGGTAAATATTATATAAGTGTACAAAGGGTGAAAGGGCATACAGAATATTCATGAATTCGTTTGTTGTTCTCTTCGATAGACGCGGTATTGGCTTCATCTCGCATTTTTAAATAATTGTAATGATTCTTTTTCGACTCAGTTTCATTGCTGTAGTCGTCTAGTACTTTCTGAAATTTCTTCATGGTCGTTTGTATCTCTGCGAAACGTATTTTTGTGAACCTGTCTTTCTCGAAAAGCATCTATATTCAAACAACAGACATCGACAAGTCACAATAATAATGTTACAACTTTTAATGCATTTTTATTTCTTATTTCTAAGTAATACATTAAAAAATATTTTTAAAATTTAAAATTATGAAAAATGATACGTTGGTGCAGTCGATTTTTCTGAAAGTGCAAATGTGCAGTGGGACCTACACAATATGAAATATAATCAGAATTTAAACGAAACATATAGACATAGGTACTATATTATAGATACCGACCTCGTTGTTTAACACGGCAATTGAGTCTTCGAAATTTATGTGGGTTTGTTGTGTGTCGTCGTCATTGCGTGCCTCGAAAATAATGGACATAAGGTCCAAGCGCTCATCGTCTCTGCTGAATATATCTCTCATCCACCTAAAGTTATGTTTCAACTCGTCTAACAACAACTGCTTTTTGTGTTCGTAGCGAGCGTGGAGTTCTTCTAACGATTTCTCGTGGATACCTATAAAAGCAATACAAACGTTGAAACGTGGGTATAGTATAATAGTGTAATTTCAAAAAGAGACCACTCATCAACTTCAGGATAATTAGGTTATATTATTAATAATAAAACAACGGAAGTTTGCATGGGCGTAGGTAAGGAGGGGTTTTGGGTGTTCAAACACCCCCCGAAATTAAATAAAACAATCTTGAGCTTTTTGTGAATTTTTTCGAGAATATTATTAACTCGTATATTATTTAGGATTTAGACAAAAACCCCCTCCGAAAATATTTCCTACCTACGCCCATGGAAGTTTGGCAGTAGAACTGGAATAGTGTACCAAACTACCAACTATCTAAAAACAAATTAAGAAATATAAAATTACCATTTCAAAAATGGAAATATCACCTAGTTATAAAAATAAGAGAAGAAGTGATATGGATAACACTCCGATTACCCGAGTGAGAACGAAACACTCACACTCAACCGGCCCCTAACTCCCATAATAGGTACCGCATCACTCATCAACAGATAATCGTATCCAACACATGACCTTAAACTTGAAAGCAGTTATTAGATCAATAGTGTTATGATCAAATAATTTGTGATTAAATTTACTATAATTTGATCTAAGATTTAGTTATAGCGTGTATTACATTTTTTAGTAGGCTAATAACTATTGAGTATTAACAAATACGTAATAGAAGTAGAAATCGTAGAAGAATTAAGAAGTAGAATTCGTAGTACTGTAGTAGAAGCCTTAACAAATAATAATAAAATACTGTCATTAACGTACTATGGTCTATGACACAGAACATCTATTAGTTACCTGCAGGTAGATATGTAGCCATGTAGGTATATCTAAATATCGTATATAAAATACTAGTTCTATTGCAATATAGACATGCTTAGAAAAAAATAAACAATGTATACAAGTAAATATATATATATTTTGTCCCTACACACAGCCACTGGTTTGCACTTTTTACAACAGTAATCACATCGTGTTCAAGGTGTAGATAATAATATTATGTCATCTTCAAACATCTTATTGATTTTACAGTCAGGTGCCTACTCATCATAGAGCGATTGCATATTATTTAACAGTCCATCTGTGACTCGTACAAACATATTTTTCCGTTTGCACATTGTCACACATGTATAATTGGCTACGAAAAAATATGTATCAAGTGTAAACTTTAAATTGTTCTAAGGTTCTAACCTTTTAATAAAAAAAAAAAATAATATTATTATTATAGTAAACTGAAACATTAATTTTAAGTAGGTAGTTAATAAAATAACACGAATTGATAAGATAATGGTTCACATAAAATTTAGAAAGTAAGACACAACTTGGTTAAAACCATATTGGTTCATTAGTAACTGAATAAATGTTTTAGCTTTGAACTTTGAAGTAAAAAATATGTATTATGTCTTATTCGATATTTTATTACTCGTTATTAAATTGTTGCAATAATGCAATAATGTATATACAGTAAATAATTTTTATCTGATACACAATTTGACGGTCAAAGACTGCGTAAAATTATCCTGTAATGTGTATACGGTAAAATGAAGATTTTTGGGTGGTGCTAGTTGTGTATGGTGTGATTATCGTGGTTAAAAGTGTATATCCGCTATGAAGGAACTAAATATATATCTACTACTTAAGTACACCCGAGTCCTATACTTCAATGGTACATTTCATTTAAATACATTTTGAATTGTATTTTTGGGTTTAGAAAATGTACAAGAATTTTTATAATTTTATTGGATTCGCTTAATTTGTTTGATTTTGAAAAATTTTCTCATTTGATATAAAATCTTAAATCATAGAAAAAATTTAACCGGAATCCAAAAACGATAAAACGAATTTGATAGTAACAATTTAAGTAGAGTACAATTTATTTATAGATATTTTTTTACCATATCTAATACAATTTATAACCCAACTTGTCCAACATATATTAAAAATCAATATAAAAGATCATTATGAAAAAAATATAATACAAATATATTATGTAACTAGGTAGGTACTAATTATATTATAACTTACTCAAGAACTGAGATACAATCTCAGCATGTGCTCCGTACTGTTTTAGATTTTGTTCTTCGGCGTCTTCTAAATCTCTCAATAACATGTCTATGTGGTCGTTTTTGCAGTCTAATAAGATTTGGAATCGGTTTTCCATTGTCTACAGGTGTTACACACATGAAACAAAACGATAAATAGGTAAGTAATTCTATTTTAAGTTCTAAATTAGAGTCTACAATCAATTAATATCGCAGAAGTTCTAACAATCTTAGAGGTCAAAAAAGTCATAAAACATATTCAAAAATTCCCATTTAAACAGTTATAAATTATAATTGAGCTTTTCAAAAAAAACTATTCTATTCAAACAATTTTTCATAGAACTGAAAAAAAATACCTAAAAAAATAAAAGTGCACAAAGAACCTACTGAACTAATAACCCAATAATTTAATATCTAAATTGAAATCAGCAGTAAGTATAGATATTTATTATTTATTTTCGATAGTGCGATAAAAGTTCAGACTAATACGAAATTCACCAGCTTATTTATTAAATAAACATCAATAGTTTTATTGGTATTTAAAAATTTAGTTTATAGTTTATACTGTATTTGGAAACATGGAAAATAGTTATTGATAATAATTTAAGAGTGGCCTGGTGTGGAGCGGTATTTGGCTTCAGTCACTAACGTGTTCTGGAGTCAAGCATCAGCCCGGATTCCGGATGGGTGACCACTTAGGATTTTAGTGACATATCCTAGCCACATAATTACATAAAAAAACACTATAAGGCATTCGAACATTTCATTGTATAGATACCTATTACACTATAATAAACATTACCAGACTATAATGTATTAACGTGCAAAAGTAAGTGTATTTAAAACTTTAAATCATTTAGATCAACACACAAGAATACAAGATGATTGTTGTCATTATGCTATTATAGTGATAAAATGGTTAACACTTAATAACTTAGGTTCTTTTAGTTCTAATAAATAAACACTCAATAGGAATTTTCATATTAAATATTATTAATATGTTCTATTTTTTAATTTAATTTTATGCTTATATTATTATTGTTACTTTTTTAAAAATTCTCTAAATATTAAAATCAACTATTAAATTTGATGTCTAATGTTTGTAAGAATATGAAATATGCAGTGCTATGTTTAAAATAGTACCCATATACACCTACCATCATTTCGTCTTTGAGCTCCTTGCACTTGATTTGCCGCAAGTTGTGTCGCCATTGCTGGTTCAGTTTGGCAGTATTTAGACGGGTAAATGCTTCTTCTTTTTTCAACTTGCTCTATTACATAACATTTATAAAAATACCATTAACTAAAAAAGTAGCCGAACGCCTGGCTTGAATACCTTTAAGTACGTGGCGACCAATTGTTCTTTCCGTCGTTTCGTCTCTTCTTCTATGGCTGCCCGGTGCTGCAGGTATCTCAATTTTTCCTCATCGCTCATTCGAGCCAATTTATTACTTTTCTTATTCTTTTTAGGTCCCATTTTATTATTTTTCTGTCGATCTAGTGAGCAATAAGATCAATCTTCTGCGTTACGATATTAATAAGTGAGTACCGTGCTGCAGGAGTAGAGTTAACTAACTACTTATGAGTAATGTGTAGCAACGTAACGCGTAATCGACTAAACTTTTTGTTTGGGTAGCAACCCTATTTTATTTTCAAGTTATACATTTCTCTAACAGTATTTTATTTTATTTTCTGAATTAAAAATTACCCTGTTATTTCCACTAAGTTTCTAGAAATAAATCACAAATTCATGTTTTGTATTTTATTTTATTCAAAACGAATGCTTATAAAAATTTAATTAGAGAAATACAATAAAGTTTGATAAATAATATATATTTGTCATCGTTCACGTGATCACTAAAATAAATATTTTTTTTCTGAATAATTACAATTACCTTTAATGGTGTTTAAGGTTTAACGTATACGTATGACGTATCTATATAATTCTTATGCTTATAGTACTTGCAGGATAAAATATTGTCGTTATAGTGAATCTTGGGACAAAAGAAAATATTCAAACTTTCCAAAAAATGAATGTCAGTAATCTACTTTGGAAAAGAAAGTTTTAAAAAAATCATATAAAAATATAAAGATAAACCATAAAATACCGAAAAAATTACAAATCTAGGTATATAATATTATAGTAATATACCACGTGATTCATAACCATGATAATAACTGGATGTTGATGAATTTTTAATTTTTTCCTTTAACCCTATTTACTATGGTCATTATATTTTGGTACTTTTTTAGGTCATCACTCATCAACATCATTCTGCTATAATAACAATAATACTACTGCCGCAGGTGTCACTGTAGACGAGCCTAGTCGGTAGTCGACCTCACCGCCAACTGCGGCAATCACCTGTTGAACCTGGTCGAGTTTTCGTCGTTCCGGGTCATGGCGGGTCTCAACCAAGGGTTGAGTACCGTGGGACCGACACTGCTGTTGAGTACCGTGACTACCAGTTCGCTGGTCACCTGTCACCGTGTTCGTGTACCTATAAGATGGTATGCTGTGCACTTAGAGTTACGCAATGCTTTAAACACCGTTCATGGCCGATACCATCCTAGAGATCTTTGACAAGTTTGTCGACGGATGGGTATACAACGGGCCGACGTCCACTTCATACACCACTACTTCCCCGCCATCTGAAGTTTATGGCCAACACCAAACTAAAGTCGGGTTGTGGCGTCGACAGTTCATGTACCTTCCATTATTTTCTATAGCATTATTCTATTCTGTACAAATCTCGACCTGGAAAAAATTAATTTAAAAATTCATGAGTGTTGCAATAGTACGCGCTGATGAATTGGAACTTCTATACTTCTTTATTTTTGATGTGAAACATCTAATGCGCCTTTAAAATAAATAATAAATTTTCCTTAAATAAATCTGAATATTTTGTTTTTGATTACCTATGCCATGTTTATTTCCTTTAATAAACCATCCTTTCAATTTTCATGTTCAACTGTGAAATGTTTCATTGTTTCAAATTTCTATGTTTCACATCTGCAAGGAATCTCACTTTTTTTAGACAGCAGGGCAGTAGCGGTGAATGAATTCGATTTCGGCTCGTTGTAGGTAATAGCAGTTGCCGCTGACTGCGCCGTCTCGACACACTATACTGTCACCCACACGCCGTACGTCGCCCACGCCTCGCCCTGACCATTCCACCGCCTTGTCAAAGATCTTGAGGCTGGTGTCCATCATAAACGGTCTGAAAAGCAACGCGTAGCTCTTGGTACACAGCATAGCGTCGTACACGAACGGGTGACAGGTAACGGGCGAGCTGACGGTTAAGTCTCCGTACTCGACAGCAGTGTCGGTCGCACGGTACACGGACCCTCGGATCGCCACTATGTCGCCGTCCAGGACAGTGCCGCCAAACTGCCAGAGCAAAACTAGCTCCACAGAGAACTTGGCGACCGCGGGGCGCTTGTTGAGGCCCATTCCCTGGAACGGCGAAAACTCAAGAACATCGTCCAAGTTGACATGCATCACGTTCAACCGGTGGTTGCCGTACTTGGCCGTCAGGTCGACTAAGCTCGCCAACAGCGACACCTGTGGCAGTAGTATTATTGTTACTATAACAGAAAGATGTTGATGAGTGAAAAAAAAAGATGTTGATTGATGACCTAAAGAGTACCAAAATATAATGACCATGGTATGTAGGATTAAAGGAAAAAAAATGAAAAATTCATCAACATCCGGTTATAATTATCATTCGTTATACTGTCGAATTTAAAGTATGTTATTTGAGAATAATGCAAGTAATAGTAAAGTAACTTATATATATATATATATGCAAATGTTATTTATGTTTTTTAGCTAATTTAGTCAAAATAAATGTTGGAGTTAACATTTTAAGTACAGTTCATGTTAATAAATATAATATAGCGTATCCTATATTTATATTAAATTGGATACATAAATTAATTCTAGCATGTAATGGATTCATTTTACCAAAATTGGAGTTACATTTGTACTTTTTTATTTTTACTTGTCAAATTAACATTTTTCGGTATCTTGTGCAATAGTCATGATTTGCCGGTGCAAGTAAATTTTTATATTGAGAGATTAATAGTAATAAGCGCTTTTTACAATTGTGGTCTACATTTTGGATGTTCTAAGTGTTAGATTATTATTAATTGATGAGTTATTTAGAATACATTTAATTAGCCTGTTAGTTGTTCTTTTTAAGTTACCCGCATTATTGCGAAGAAAATTAATTTTTCGTTATTTGTTGATATAGTTTTGAGGCAATTTAAATGTGACCATTTGGGCTTTATACTGGCTAATGTTTGTATCATATGACTTACCGGCTGCGTCACCCCGACTTTGTTATCTATTCGATCGAATTCCATTCCACTGACGACGAACACATTTACCCGGCCGACGTTGCCAACAGCACCCAGGGCCGACTCCAGCGAACAGACGACTTTCCACGGTACGTGCGTGGTGTTGACAAACACGTAGTGCACGTCCTGGGCTCCACCGAGGTCCAGGTACATCAGCTTGGACACGCGACGGGTCTTGTCCACATATCCCATCTGTTCCAGCGAGTACAGGTCCCTGGACACGACCGAACAGTAATCAGAGGTGTTGGCGTCGGCGTTTTGCACCGCCGACGCCTTGGAGCTAAGGCCCGAGCCTTCGAGGTCTTCGTAGAACGAGAATTCGCCATTAATTGGATGCACCGCCTGTGCAGTGGACTTGCACCGCAAGTGCAGGTAATAAGCGAACATCACCAGGGAGAACACGAACACGAACACTGCCGTGATGAAGGACTGCATGAACATAACCGCCAACTTTTTGGTTAACGTCGTCCACCGTTGATTGTTATTGTTATCGACGATCGTGCTCCTGTCCATTTTCTGTTTCGGACGTGATAACGTGTTCTGCAGTAATACGCAGGTGGTGAACAAAATATTATTACATGTATCTAATGCTAACCGCGAATCATAATGTACAAACAAAAACACGTTGTCAGGTTATGAACGTGTTTATAATACAAATACGTCTTATAGATAACTATGATAAGGTAGGTAGGTAAGAAATCAATTTTAAAAGTTATTTAATGAAATGATCACAAGAAACAAGACATTAATTAATTTGTTTTCGGGGATAAATTTCCGTGTCGTGTTTATTGATACAACAAATCTATATGTATAAACGAGACTGTTTCGAATAGCTGCTTCATAAATCATAATCAACGCAGAGCCGAACGTATTGAAGCTATCGATTTTAAATTTTGAGGGTAGATTAATATTGTAATTTTTTTAATTGTTGAATTTTCACACATTGCCTACCAAGGTGGCTGAGTTGCATTTAAAGCCGCTCATTACCGTGCTCACAATAAAAATAAAATGTATTATTTATATAAAGTACTCACCAAGAAGGGTCCACAATCCATCGCAAGCGGATTGCCTACCTGTTAATATATTGCACTCATTATTATCACGATAGAGTCTCAAATAGAGTTATTATATACTATTCAAAATTCAAATAGGTATTAAATCGCTGAAATTGGATACTATATAATTATTTAAGTAGTACGCTGAGCACTGGACGAATATCTTATTTGTTTATGGGTACATCACCAATTCAGTGTTTTATTTAATGTAATTAAAGTGTTTCCGACCATAAATTCTGTTAAACTTTCTTGCAATCATTTGCGGTTCGTCCTTAACGATTTAATAGCACCGGGGTGGTATACAACATCAGCTATCAATATGGTCATCATGAAGTATTAGGGCTTTACATAGCCTGGGTGGCTGGGTGTTAATATCATATAGATCTAAAAGGATTGGACGTAGAACGGTTAGGTAAACGTCGTATGCATCGTACTCAGTGTCAGCTCGATAGAGAATTTTAAGAGGACACTGCCTCACTATAAATTGATTATATAATGCGTATATATGTAACGTTTTTAAATAAATGATACAATTTGTGGTGGTCGACCTCTAGCATCTACGTATGGCAGGGGTTACCAACTGACGAGTGACGGACTACGAACCCCAGTTTTACAGACTCTTATCTGGAGTAGTTTTTACATTTTTTAAATATAATTATAAAAACTATATACGTGTGTAAGTGTTATATAAAATATTACGACAAAAAATGTATTTAAGTAATTGGTACAGTTAATACAAATACAAATTTTAAAAAAATTTACCATTTATTAACGTGTGTATAATCCATTAAAATCGTTTGGGACCACGGAAGTTCGGTAAGTTTCAAAACAGACCTTCATAAAAATTAGTTGGTGACCTACGATCTATTGTCTCGTGAGAAGTAAAAAAGTTCACTGATAGATATGCCTCACTTTGAGTTAACAGTGCTGGCTGAATTTAAAAAATTTGGTATGGACGTTTCGTCATTAGCTTAGATTGAGATAGATAATCGTTGTTATACCATCACAGATTCACTTTATTTTTGTCTTATGCACAGAACAATGCTTGTGTGTGTGTGTGTGTGTGAATACCCAGTAGGAATAATATTATACTATCTATATAATACGTAGTTTATTTTTCGTGTGTCCACAAATAAAAACTCAAAGGCGGGCAACTGTACAAGGTGTAACGGAATGACCTGACAAATGAAAAATAATGTTTGTTCTAATCAATGCTTAAAAATTGTTGTAACTGTTTTGTAATATATTTTATAATTTTTGGAGTAATTTCATTCGAACAGTTCATACTGTTGCAGTGTAACTTAAAAAATATAAAAATTTATAAGCACAGCTATTTTTTACAGATATTGTAAGTTCAAATTTGAGCAACTCAGAAATAATATTTTTAGTTATTTTATTGCATTAAAAATATTATTCATGGGTAGGTCGTAGGTACTTGAGACTTTGAGATTACATTATTATATTACATACACTATACTACGGTATACACACAATGATTATTTCGACCAAATGTGAATGTTTCCTATGTCATATGCCTAATAGTAAAATTAATATCATACAATTTACTTAGTAATATTACAAGCTGACAGACCGTCTTCGCTCAGAATCGTTTTTCGTATACAAAGATTATTAATATAATCGAACTCAAATTTAACACATCCATTACTGTGACTATCTACACTCTAGACACTTAATGTACCTACATCAGAGTCTTACCCGCTTACCCTCTATTTTTTATTTTACAATATCGCAATATTTTTTTTTATGAATGTTTAGAGAAGTATGTAGTGAATAATCAAACGAACAACATAATAATTTAAAATTGTGTATTTAAAAAAAATATATATATTTTAATACAATCTTTGTAATTAATTTATGCATAATTATGTAGAGATCACAAATTGGATTTTGTAAGCTTTTTGGTAGATTAGGTACTTTTATACTAATGTCAACATGTAATATTCAATGCCTATACTTAAAAATACTCCAAATAATATAGGTATTATGTTTAAAATAGGTATTGAACTTTAAAAGTAATCATGTATTATTTTATTTACGTATTATACGTATAACTTGATATATCGATGTTTAATCAGAAATAAAATGTTTGTAGTTATATTTAATTTCTTTAAAAATAAATAAAACCATATACTGACTCCAGTTTTTATCAATATATGACTATATACAAAACGAGTAGAAGTAATATAGTAGTAATTATATATAGATATTTAGATTAATCACTAGTTAATTAGCTCTTTCAGGCCCGAATTAATTGTAGTAGGGAAAAAAATTAGGGTTGTATACATGTTATAAAAGGTACTTGATTAAAATTCTCTTCAAGTTTGAACGATCTGGACCAAAGATACAGCTATGCGCATTATAATTTCTTGCGTGCACATTACAATGTACATTGGGCTTCCTAGCATAAAACACTATGCATATTATAATGTGCAACGGGACTTAGGTGATAAACTTATTGTTTCATAAATTATACAACTTCATTTATGAAACAAAGACATCATATTGTATTGTCTTTTGTGCACAAATTGTAAAAAATTATTTTAAAAAAATCTTTAAATCAATAGTTAAATAAAATTAGTCATAGCGATGATGCCTCCTTCTCGGTTTAGATTTAGGTACTCGTGTATGATGATTGTTGGAAGTGTGTTTTACCCGACGTTGCTTAGTAGAATTTTTCAAAACAATTTGTTTGGTGTCTTGCAAGTCATTTTGTTGGTTAACTGCGTCGATCTCTTTGCATGCATTATTCTGACTTTCTTTCTCAACACATCCAGTTATTTCAAATACAAAATTGGGGTTGACTTTTTTCGGTTTGAGCTGACATACTTCCATAATTTTAGTTAATTGATCTAAATATAATTCTGTTTGATCTCGATTCTCAATGTGACCCGAAGTAATAGCCAATTTGATTTCATTACACACTAGTTCGGCAAGGTTGAATACTTTGGAATGATCCTTTATGAATATTGATCTATGTTTCTGAAAAAATATTACGATTATGAAGAACTTTTGTAATTAGGTATGTTGATTTTAGTGAAAAGTATAGTTATTTAATTTAAAAAAAGGACACAGGAGTACAATGTTTGGATATATAATGGGCATTTGTTCATAATAAATTAATACCTTGATGTGAATAAATATTATTAATATGAAACAAAATAATGATAAGCATAACCTATAAATTTGGATTCATTTCTTACCGTAATAATATCGCTATTAGCAATGCTTTCGTCATTTATTAACATCATGAATTGTTCTACACCAACTAGAAGATTTGAAGATTCCTTGAAAAGTATTGAGTAAGAACAAATTTGTGCCATTATTTTCCATCTACAATTCCCTTCATATTTTTCGAATAGATTAATCAAATCTAATATCGGATTACTACCTTTTTCGTATTTTTCCATTATAAGTATTAAGTCATCATCCAATGAGTCATGATCTTTGTTTTTCACCTGATTTTCAGTACTGGTATTTTTCAAATGACTTTTATTTTCGTTCTAGACATTACAATATATTATTTTACTATACATTTTTACAGTACACAAAGTATTACAACTTAATAGGTACAACTGTATAATATTAATATTTATTATATGATACTATTATACGTAATATATTATCTTAGGCTAATGATCCACTTGCGGAACATCCGAGGCGGAATTCACCGAAAAATGTCCTCAACATTTAATTAGAATCAGTGATATCTATATCTGTGTTTTTCTACTCGGAATTTACAGGTTTCAATTAATTTTACATAGACATTTAACATTTTATATTTCGAGTGTGGAAATATCTGTCGGCTTTACGGTGGCTTTACACATTTTATGGCAGAAAAATGCTTTAACCTTGTCAAGGGTTTGCCCTTAAGATACATTTTTTCAAAAAAAAAATGTAGAGCCGCAGTTCGTAAATACTTAGCATTTTAACCAAATATTTATACAAGCATTTTATAAAAAAAATTTTCAAAATGTAGGTATAGAGATACCTATTGGATTTTTTTAAAAATTATTCAGTAGACATTTTAAATTCTCAACTTTTTTTAGTTTTTACTCAATAAATGTCGATATAAAATGTATACGGTAAAAAACCTTGAATATTAAACAGGTACAAGTCAATTAAGTACCTATTTAGTATTCAGTTGTTCAAAATTCATACAAATTTTAATTTTTAATTTAAATATCTAATAGGTTTAAAAATTGAACTCTGTTTTTAATCTTTGTTAGTCGTTACTTGTCCTTAAAAACAATTTAAAAATATCAAAAATACATTCAAATTGAACATATCAATTTCCAACTTCTCCAGTTTTTAATATTAAAGTTTTTTAATAATAATTTATTCTTACCATTTCTATGCAAGTACAGACCAATTCTCTGAAGATTGCAATGCTTTTCTGAATTGCTCTAATCACCGTGAAGTCGTGAAAAGCCATATTTACTGCTATTGTTATAATTTGTTTAATGAGAAAAATATCGTCTTGGGTTAAATATGGAAGAGTCATTAGAGATTTTGCGCATTTAACAACTAAATGAGGATCTTCTGGTTCCATACTTATGATGTCTCTGACAAATTAAAAAATATATTTAAAATAATTTTATGGTATCACATATAATAAATGATTAACTTTGGTTGGATTATATTTACTTGATTAATTCTATTATATTGAGTAAGTCTTTTTTTACTTTTTTCAATTCATTTTCATTGCTTTTACTTTTATTATTATCATGATGATAGTGATAGAGTATTTTATTTGTCATCAAATGCATTCTGTGGAAGTTAAAATAAGGATTTGGTTCATTTGATAAGATAACTGCTTGCTGTATAGAATCAAACTCGTCTTCAGTAGGGCACGATATATTGCTATTCAGATATTGTCTTTGAGCAGTCATAGCTATTGCAAGATAATAATTCCACTGAACTGTGTCTGGATCTAACTCACATGCTGTTTTCGCATACTGAACAACATTTTTCATTGATTTGCCACCAATGTCTAAACAAACTACAGCATGTAAAGCATTAACTGCAGCTCTTGATTTCGAATCCAAATTGTTAAATCTTGTTATCATTTCAAATAACTGAAACAAAAACAATTATACAGATTTCAGCATTAGGTATAAAGTTGATAGTTAACTGGTTCACTGATGTTCCTTGTGTCCTCCCCCCTTTTAAAAATAAGTTGTTGAAATAACGTTTTTTAGAAAAAAAATTTAAATGTTAAAATGTTTGGTTCATATTTATACAAAATTCAGTTATTTCGTTAAAGTGTATATTTCCCTTGTTTTAATAGCATCGGTATAAGGTGACAATATAATATGAATTTGAATAATTTTGATATAGGTACCTAGTAATATTTTTAATTAGGTAGTATAAATAGTGAGTACTTTATACTTTTTGGTATACCTAACTCATGGGTGGATTCAGAAGGGAGCACCTGGAGCAAGTGTTTCTCCCTGTTCACAAAAAAAATATATAACATAATTTTTTTATTTATTATTAAAAAGCGACATCGTAAAAAAATATTTTTAATTTAAGTGCCTCTCCATAAACAGAATCTGGATCTGTCCTTGACCTAACTATACTCTATAAATCCAGATCCACTGGATGATATAAAATCACGATATAGTTACAACCCTGACACCTTATTTTGTTGATGTTACAATGTCATATAATGTGTGTATTAAATTTATACGTATGTGTGTTATATTATTAATTTAATTAAGTATACAGGTAATAGGCAATTGTTATATAAACTTAACAACAATCCAAAGGTAATTATTAATATAATTATAAATATACAACTGCATAAACATATGTTTAACTAAGTATTTGCATTTGGTGCGGGAGCTTGAGAGTTTCATCATACAATTATTTTATCATATATTTATGTTAGAGTATTACAAATGCCTTATATAATTCCTGCTATAAGGATTTTTTCTTCTGATCTCCTACTTGCACCTAAAAAAAGTTTTGTTTACCTGTACCACAGATTATCGATTGGTATAATAAATAATGATATTATATGTACCTTTATAGCTACATAATATTATTAAGGTTACAACTAGAATATTGGGTTATATGAACCAATGTATTAGATAGGTAAATAGGTAATTAGTTATTACATCACTATAACCAGTTGTACATTCAAGACTTACAAATAAGAGTTAAATTACTAAATATATTTTTTTTCAATTTTTAAATACTTGATATTAGGTAGATATAGCCATTTAGGTTACCTACCTTTATAAAAAGTATATTTAGAAAAGTCTATATATAATATAAATTTAAATATTCTTGCATAATATTATGATGTTTTTTTTTTATGGTGGATATATTATCGATGAATTTGTTATTTAATTTCGAGTAGTTTTGAATTACTTGTGTATCTTGACCATATATTCTAGAGTTCAAGATAGAAGTAGGCATTGGGAGAATACTTATATGAACAATTATTATTATAAACTATAAAGGTATTCCGAGAATACTTGAATAAAGTTATTAAAAACTATTAGTTTAGGTATAGTATAGTATAGTATAGTATAAAGATGATATATTTTGTGGACGGAGAAAAAGCTTATATGATTCTAGATAGGTACTTCATAATATTAGCTTTGATTTTTCTACGAATATTGAGTAATTTTGTCTTACCTGTTGACATTGCGCTCTATTCACAGTGAACAATACGTGACACAATGTAGACATAACGATATGCTTCAATCCATCTCTAATTGCCAAATATTGAGGTTCATTTTTATCGTCTAATTTATCTAGCCATTCCCAAATATTTATTAATTTATCGTGTGCTCTGTCTGCTTTGTTTGTTTTAAATAGTCCACAACTGATAATAAGATTGCTTATGTACCTAAAAAATGCATATATATATATAAATATGTATATATTTATATAATTTGTATCATATTTTTTTTTATCAACATAACGTCTCTACCTGTAGTTATAAGTTAAATAATTATAAAAAAATAGTGCTGAATGCGTGGTGGTATGTTATGATATTTAATTCAAAAATAGCTATAAATAATAAAAGTAAAAAATGATTCGCATTAGAGCTAAGCGTTAAAACCATGCTTGCTGACATTGTTCACGTTGTTAATGGTTGCCAGATTCAATATACTCGTAAGGTGAGAATATCGAATAATAAACCCTCAAAAATGTACCTTATCAATTAGAAAGTACATTTTACGACGTTGGGAAAAATCAGCCAACTAAAAAAATTGAAAACAGTGAACAATGAAAATAATAAAAAATGAACCGTTGTAAAAATTAATGACTATTCTCTCTGAATTCTGGAATACCTACCTAATTTTTGTATTATTAAAAATCAACATATAACAACTAATAAATAAAACATTTTTATGTAGAAGGATAAGTATTATAGGGGTTAATTATTAGAAAGATTTTACGGAAAATATATTAGATATAATTTTAGCAATTTAGAAACAGATAGGTGAGCTAAGACATTAAAAAATAAATAAAAATACATTGACGTATTTTTATAACTAATATAAATTATGCATTACATAATATAGATCAAGAAATAATAAGATATATTGGAATTGATGGAATAATTATGACTATTTATTACTTATTTAGCATACATTTATAATTTATATGGATTATTCCAAAGCAAAAATCAAAATATATTTACTTTTCAAATGAAAATCTGACTGAGGAAATATTCGTATTGTATTTGCCATATTTTTTTTCAATTCGATTAACAATGTTTTTTTTCCACACTGCAGATTCAAAATCCCAAGTAAATGGACATTGTAAAGTCTTCAAATGTTTTTCCGTAACTCTACTAAATCTATTATTAATAACCATAGAATCTTCTGTACTAACTTCTGAATTACCAATCTCGTTTATAACTGTATTGTCATTTTCAATAACCACTTGTTCAGTTGCAGTTATTTCTGGAGTTAACTCTTTAAATTCATTGTAAGGATCAAATATCGAAAGATATGCAAAATGTTTGTCCGTAACAAATACGTTGTCATTACATGCTTCCAAATCATTAAAAACGTCCAATTTGGGTAGAAGATCTTTAATAATTGCTTTTGAATTGTTTACCTTCATATAATTTTCATCAGATTTAATCGTTTTACTTTTTTTGTTTCTACTGCAGCTTTTAAAAAGTAACCAAATCATGTTTTATTAAATCACGTTAATATAAATATATTTTACACATACATGCACAATTATCACAACAACTATTTTAAACTATACATAGATAGCGAAAGACTTTATTTTAATTCTATGTTATTAATTTTCTACAGTAAAAAATGAAAATATTACTGTCAAATTTATCAAAATGAATCAAACAATTATTTAAATGTAACTTATAAACACTACTGTGCATCAAAAACACAATTAATTATTATCTTTAAGTTTCTGTATAATAGGTATACTAAAACTAAATAGATAATATGTATAATGAGCTAATAACCTTGTAACATACATAGTGCTTCACTTAACAAATACAACTTTAATAGTAGTATAAAGGTAATATCTATTATCTAGGTACCTCCAGTGGAAGCAATGCGAAAGCAGATCGGTTATAACGAAAAAAAGGTACCTAAGCAAAAACTACTAGCTAGTAGCTACCTTTATCATAAACTTAATATATTTCAATCAAGGATATACAATTAAAGTAGATAGGTTTGGTTTTGATCAATAATTGCAATTTAAAGTTTAAACTAATGGCTTGAAACTCTTTTGATCGGAGTTTCAAGTATTTTAATATTCATAAATAATTTAAATCATACTGTATGTAAAATATTTTTATTGAATGACACTATACATTTCTCGCTAAAATTATTATTCTATAAAGATACTTATTATGTCAATTCATCCGCCTCGTTTATTCAATTACTCATGTATGTCTATTGTACATGTATAGGTATCATTAAAATATTTTTTTTGTGGAGTAGGTATCTGAGTACCTAGCCATTTGCATTAATTCTGTTGTAAAATAAATACCTAGTTAGTCGTCAAACAATTTAAATTTACTGACAAGCTAACTAATATAAAGTAATAATTATAAAAAATTAATTTACATAAATATTTGTGAATATTAAATATTAAAGAACAAAAAGTATTTAATATTTGAACATTTCCAATTAAAAAAAAAAATAACTATTATCGGTAAAGATCGGATGTTGGTAAATGCATTGAAAATTTAAAAAATCTTCATGTAAATATGCACTTGAAAAGCTCAAAATACACAAAATAATTTTAGAAAATTATTGCAGCTAATTATTTAATGTAAAATCAAAATATTTTTTTTTTTTTTTTGGTTTTTACGTTTTTATTCTATCTGTTACATAAAAAAAAACACAATAAGAACAATTGATGGTAAATAATATAAGATAAATTCAAAATATAAATGATAAAAAAATGTTATATCAATAAACTACAATATTATATACAATTTAAACATTATTGGAATAACAATAAGTATCGATGATTATATATTATATTCCATGTCGATCTCTGTAAAATTATAACGACGGTTTGTAACAATGTGTCTGTAGGTTCCCAAAAAAACCTTGTTCCACTTCAATGCTTGTTAATTAGTTGTTATTGGTGCCTACTTTAGACTCGAAAATATTTCCAGGGTAAATGTTGGATAGAGGAACCCTCGAAGACCAAAGTGAACATTAAATAATTAATTAATACACCTTGGTTTACTTCAGAAATGTCTTTTAAAACTAGCAAGCCTTTATTTTTATTAATAATTTTAGATCTTATATTTATTTTAGCTAAAATTTGCTTACAGTTTTTAATGCTATTGACATTATCTTCTTGTAGATTTTGAATAACATTTTTAAAATGGTTCGAAATCATCTGCATATAATATTGCCGATTCTAACCAAGTACCACCCCACCGTGCTATTATATAGGTTGGCGCTATAATGACTAGGTAATGGTTTATTATGTAACATTTCATGATATAATTGAATTTTGTAAGGAGTTTTCAAAAATATCTTTTTTCCGTTGCTAATATTAAGCGTTTTTTCCATGAAAAATAATATACATACTTTTTTTCTGCGATCCGATAAATTCCATGATCAGCACAAGTCTCGTGAATAAGATTGAAATAAATTTTTTTTTAATTATTGGCAGCCTTAACCATGCATCGGATAACATTGACAAAACTTTTTCGTCGTTACCTCCCTCTGGTCATAATAGATACTCTGAGACTAACTGCACGTTTTGAGTTTTCTTTATGTTTTTAACTTTTAAGGCATTTTCTTCGATATTATAGGTACTTTTTTAGACGTTTTCAATCGTATTATTTGTAGCGAATTATAATGATTAAAAAATTTGATTTTACTCACTGCTTCCTCATTATTTAAATATAACCACTTAATAGTTACATAACTGTTTTAGGTCTTGGATATTTTCACTATTTAAATACTTACCCGAAAAACAATAAGAAAAAAAACCGTCTATACCTAATTTTTGTTACTATTGTTAGTTTGCAGCTACAGGCTACAGCCGTTCTGTAGCTTACGCAGCGGCCGCTTTAGCTAGTTAGTACGAGACCCATTGGAAATTTCCCGATTTCCCAATGACCCAATCCGTCCCTGCTTGCAGCCTTTAATTTATAATAATCACAATACCTACTTATTTTAATCATTTATTGGTTATTTTAACTGTACCTATAAAAATTAAATGTAAATTAAAACTGAAATCCCTTTTAGTTATCTTGTGTACCAAATATTTATGGTCTTGTTAAAATAATTAAATTATATACAATTCAAAATAATGCATTAGTTTAAAATCATAATTAACTTTTTAATATTAAAATATGTTGAATCGATTTTAATAAATAATCTTTGTACCTTTGTCATATTCTATTTTGAATTTTCTACACAATTATGATTTAACTCTCTGCTGTTGCTATTGGTTATATATTATTTAACTCAGAGCTTGCGCTAAAGAAATATAAGAGTTGCACATACTGTTTGTTTTACAGAAGTAAAAAAATTTGATGTTCGCTTCGCTCTCACATAATGAATAATACATACTATCATACATATTAATTAATATTATATTATACGTCATAATATATGAATATTAACAATTAAAATAACAATTTCCTTTAATCAAATTTTAAAATGATTTTATATTTTATGACAACCTCTTCATCAGTATCACCACTATCACCACAGTTTTAGAACCGTTGTATGCCCGTAGTTTTAATCTTTTGATAATCATAAATAAATAGGTATTTACTATAACAATGTTTTAATCATAATTTCTAATAATTTCAGAAATCAAAATGTCAAATGGTTACAAGCTCATAGACATAATATAAAATTAATTATTAAAAATTCAAATCATAATATTTTTTATGAACTGCACAACATTAAAACAAGAACTACGCATTTCAATTTAGAACTGCACATTTTATGCACAACTGCACATTAGCGCAAGCTCTGATTTAACTATTACAAATAGTAGAATTGTGGCATAATACCTACACATTGTTTTAAAAATATATTTAAAAAAAAATGTTGGGCTCGAATAGCTAGTAGTAAAATAAAGATACAATGATACGGTAATATATTTTTTAGTCTGTTTCGTTGGTTGCACTGTCTGAGAAATCTCTAGATAATGATATTTGTTCTGTATTTACAATAATTAATATCTATTATCATTTATCACGCAGACTGTTAGATATAGTGCGAAGGAGTTGACGTCGAGTAGTTCACTTATAATTAGTGATTAATAATATTATTAGTTTTTTAAGTATTAAATCATTATTTATAATACATATTTTTTATATACATACAGTATATATATATTATTCGCATATACTTCTTGTTTTTATTGTTAATTTTTAGTAAGTAGTTTTAATAAGTAATAAAAATATATTGATTCTATTGTAAAAAATAAAAATAACTTATATACTGTGCACACTTTTTCAATTTATATATCAATTAAAATTTGTAAACAATTTTTGTTCTGTTAAAACAGGGTAAGACAAATCCAAAATAATTGACATGCATTTTCAATGTCTGACTACTGGAATTATTTGACAAATGCTGATAATAATCGTAAGTAAACAATATAATATTTATTAGGTCTATCCATCTACATATGTGCCTATGTACTATTATTATTATCGCTTTTATTATTAAGTTGTCTCATAGATCACAAAATTTAAAGTCAGATATATAAAATAATATTTTACTTACTACCCACATAATAGAAAATTATCAAAGAATAAACTTTTGGCTTATTAGTAAAAAGTATAACATTTTATGTATGATTAATTTTGATTTTATAATATGGAACAAAAAAAACCTATTTTTTTTTAGTTAACTTCAATAGGTAGGTACTTAATCGGCTCATCTTATATTTTTCTGATAAATTAATTTACATAGATACCTACAAAATTATTTACTTAGCAGGCTCACCCCCATTTTTTTAATTTCATAGGAAATGTATTCATATTCTGACTTTTGAAATTTTGAAATTAGTTAACTAGGTACCTACTTAGTTACTACCCTCTATATTTTTAAATTCTTGAGATTTTTTGTACTGTGTAAGGAGTGTCCTTTTACAATACAGACATCTGTTTTTCTTATAAAAATCCCCTTCTCCCTTTTACCGTAAATTATTTAGTGGATCATTTTTTAAAATATTTTGATTTAACTAATTAAAAATTCAAACCAGGTGATTTTTAATTATTAAAATGTTTGTATTAAGGATAATAGTCCTCAAAAATGGTTTTACAATAATATAAAATAGGTGTAATTATCGGATCTAGTATTTAACATACCTGATTATAATAATAATAATTGTTGACATTTTCAAATTAGTATATCCCCCATATCTTCAAATCCCATTATCATTAGTAGATACATAAAAACTACTCGTTTGAATTTTTGATTTTTATGTCGACAATATCAGGAAAACTATCTGCTAAATTTTTTATAAAATAAAGGGGTTGACATTTGAAAAACAGAAGTTTGCTTTTCCACATGAAACTTCTATTATTAAAGTACCATAGGAAGTTTCAAGAATTGGAAAAAACTGTTTGGGCATGTTTAAAAATTACGAAAATCAGATATTGAATATCTGCATTATTAAAGAAGAAAAATGGTATGACCAATACTGAGAATCTGTAGTCAGATCACTGCTTAGTGAATGTCTATATATATTTAATCAACATTAATGGAACACAATACAATTATTGTATTATAATGGAATTTCAGAAAATAATTAAATTTTAAAATTCTATAATTTGACTATTCATTATTCAATTGTAGGTATTCCAAACTTTTAAATATTTTCTTAGATATACAAAGAAGTAGGATGTTGATTTAATAATTTTCTTATGATTATTATTAGTTATTAAATATGTCTAATAAATAATTGGCAGGTGTTTAAAGCAGCTGCTGATTTCAGAATTGAATAAATAATGTACTTATCATTTTTTTAATCTATTGATTTTTAAATTCATTGAATATTAATACTTATAGTCTTCATAAATAAATATATAAATATAACTAGGTGGGTACTTATAAATGTTATTATTCTATTGTTTAATGTTGCCTTTAATTTAATACAAGTAAGAATGCAGTGTAAAAACTTGGTTATATTTTGATTATCTTATGGAAGATTGGTACACCAACTAGAGATTTAAAATTAATCAAGCGAAATCTATCCATACGACGTTCACACTAAGACTTACCCTTTGCAATGATGTTTTCATTTACGGAACCCAAAATCCAAGTGCTCAGAACACTAAATATCTTGGCTGAACCCTGATAAAAGGTTGACATGGGCCCAGCATATTAAATCAAAAAGAATAAACTTAAACCAACGTCTTTTAAAAAATCTCATCTATAATAACAGATACACTCACACTAGTACCAAACTCCTTATTTATAAATCCTTACTTAAACCCATGTGGAAATATGGACTGCAACTATGGGGAAACTCAAAAAGTCCAATCTAAACAAAATACAAACTTTCCAAAATCTAGCGCTTTGTAAATTATTAAATGCCCATCCTTATGTATCTAATCATACTATTTATTCAGATTTAAAAATGCCTCTAGTGCATGTTGAAGCAAAAATTTATTACAAACGTTTCCACCTCCACTTATTATCTCACCCCAATCCGCTCGCTAGAAATCTCTCTAATCCAACTATCCTCGGAAACCCTCCAAGAAGGTTAAAACGAAAATAGTGCCGTGACTTGCTTGTTATATAAATCAAGTACTAAATAATTAAGCATATTCAAAAAAAAATAATAATTAAAATATACTGCATATTATATATATATATAAAAAAAACGAGCAGAAGTGTCATTAATGGGTGGCTGCTCTCATCAAACGTAACATGTACTATATAATTTATTGTAAACTGTTATTATTATTAATATGTTTTGATACCTTATATATTTATTCAGTATCACATTTACTCGTTGTGCCTAAGGTATAGATTGTAAATTTCTTTTAAAAATATTAAAAAAAAAAATTTTGATTTCACTTAATTTCAAAAATGTCATTCGCTAAATCAATTTGTCTATTGCACTGTATGACACTGCTAATTTTAATTTCAAACATATATTTAATGTATCCAATACTCAATTGAAATGTTTGACTATTGGTTCAATTTTATTGTGACTTATACTTCCTTGAGAAATGCCTTACTCAGCATTTCCACAGATATTGCTGTAAAGAATAAATGAGCAACTACTTGACTTAATATTATTATAAAATTCTATTATTCATATCTATTTAATAAAATACCAAAATAATTATTAAGTATTCAACCATTTACTGGAATTATATTTTACTTTTTCAGTAGCATAACCTAGATATTTTTTTGTGTTCATTGTTTTAATTTTAAACATAGTTAAATTAACATAATTATTGTGTCAAATACTCATTGTATGCTAAACATTCAATAAATTACATTTACAATTATGAATCATATTGTTTTTATTTTAATTTTGAACAATTTATTATCCTTAAAATAAAGTGAGGTATATTACAGTACATTAATCAGATCACTAATTGTAGAATATAAGAACATTTTTAGTGGTTAAAAATAAAATTTTGTGTGTTTCTAAACTAAATAAATAAGAAATATCTCGAGCAATAAAGACTCTTCAAAGACTTGAAGATTATTTGTTATAAGTCTATCATATCCAAATGATTATCACTGCATTTAGAAACAAAGTGTAAATTATAAGAAACAATTTAAAGTTGTTTTTATACTATTTACTTTGTATTAAAATTTTATTCTTATTCAATTATCAAATAAATATGCGAGTAAATATGTAAATAAATGTAAAAAGTTATATAAAACAGTCCCTAATGCTGTTTACAAATATTTAATAATCAATATAACTATGAATATACATAGTTGATGTCTTATGAGTTATGATTAATATGAGAATATTGACAATAGATAGGTATATTATATTCTTAAATTATTAATTTTGTTGTCTTAATCGATCAATTTATAAATAAACAAATTTTGTCATGGAATTTTTAATTTTGTACTCATATTTAACTTTTTATTATAGAATGGAGTTGAGCAATGTTCAACAATTATTACTGATACTAAACCGTATCAAAACAAAAAAAAACATCCTATAAAAACAATTAAGGTAAGATTTTTATTACAAGCTTAGATAGTAGCTATATCATTTAATTTTATGCGTGAAAATATAGCATGATAATTTATAATACCTATTACCTATATTGTATGTATAATGGAATAAATCTTAGTTAGCTTATTATGATACAGAATATAACTGTAGTTAGTTGGATATATTATTCTCATTACAAATAATTCTTTTTTATATTAAGTCTTTGATTATAACTTAAACATAAAAAAGTTTATTTATAGGTATTAATTATTATTTTTAATGTACCTAGTGGGGATTATAAATATTTGTGATAAACATAGTTATTTAAACTAGTTAATCAATATTGCAAGGTGATCATTAAATTGTAATGTTCAATTCTTAGTAGGTAGGTATTTAATGATAAACTGAATGAGTATTCTTTTATCATAGTTGCTTTTAGTTTATGTCTATAATGATAAATGATAATAAATTAATTTATTATGATGTTTTGACTGAACTAATGCATAACAACAAACAAATAAAGTTTAAGAACATCTACAGGTAAATAATAGTCAAGTAATCAAAATGTATCATTTAATAATTAGGCAGGACGGTAGGTAATTTAAGGTAGGATATATACTAACTTTGGAACTTTTTAAATGTGACAATTAAAATTATGATAACTTTTTATAACTTATTAACATTATCATTATTATCAACATAGTAATAAATACATACAAGGTCAATACAATATTCTAATGTTTACTATAATGTTTTCATTAAGTATAATATTTATACTTTATATTTTCAGTACTCATAAAATAAATAAATTTACTTATTAATAATATAAATTCTTTTGATGACATCATTGTATTGATGTATAGTGTTGGTGGTTAAATATTGTAATGTTTATTTGTCTGTTCATCGTAAATCGAATTACAACCATTATTTAATTTATTTCGAATTTTAATTAGTAAAAAATATATCTATTATTGCAAATGCCAAAAAAAAACTGGACGCCGCCGTTGTAACTCGTAGTCGATGTTTGATTAAAATTCATACAGTTATGTTATGATTTATTATCGATTACTATTATTATTCTTATGATAAAAAGTGCACAGACAGAGTGGCGTCTTCGTTGTTATTCTTAATATATAGACAACATGCCATGCACGGCTATAATGTGTATACATGCTAATCTATGCTTAAATTGGATATCCAAATTTACTGGTCAAAAAAATTTTCTTTCCACAACGCAAAAATGTAATGTCCCCCATTTTATAAATTCTATAAGTTAAAAATTGTCTAATTTAATAAACTTTGGTTAGATATAAATTATAATGTATATGCGGATATACCTAGGTATATGTCGTATACTCATACCTATGGATACTTTTATATATTATGTAAATAATAATACCACGTGTATATGTATCAGTTTGTATAATTATATGCCATTGATTTTCATGTTTTTACGATAATTTTTTTCTTCTGTATCGGGTCTTCGTGCATATTGTAATACATTTGTATCACACCACATACGCTATAGTTTACATTGTATAGGTATACTCTTTCAAAGCGTGCAGTCGTTGAACTCACTTGCGTTTATTTTCCTAACCGTCGCGCGTCGCGCTGATGACCAACACGCCACCCACACCTGGCACGTTGTGTTTTCGACCAAGCGGTTGGAAATTGAAACGACCATCTCTCGTTCTCGAAAAACTCTAATAACAATAACATAGCTGTACGCCGTCCTATGTACCTACTTAATATATTATAACATATTATATTAGTAGGTACTGTGCTATTATCGGATAGGTACATAAGGTGTATGAGACACGTCTACGACGGTTCGGATCGTTTGCATTTCGGACGGATGACAGACGCGGCGGCAACCAAATGATAAATCGTGCTGTTCGCCTCGTGCTTCGTGTGGTCGTAATATTATATTACGGGTTAATATTATAGGTACGCGCCAGCGATGGTTGGATTACTATCGACGCGCCGCCAAGGACCCCGACCCCACATCGTAGCCACACTGCCTTAGTTGATTGATTACAACCAAACGACGTGGTGTCGTCGCTCCGCGGTTCGGACCAATGTGTATTTTATACGTATAATATAATTTATTATAATATATTAATATTCCCCTTGTATACTATAATTTATTGTAATATAATTGTTGCTGGGAACTTGATGCACCCTAAAAACGTCAACGCAAAAGTAATTTATAAAAAATGTCCAATTACACTATTTGCTGTTCACCTGTTTAAGTAAAACTACCTTTTCAAAAAAGTACACATTATTCTGTTCGTTGTTGTGAGATATACAAATATATACATACTATCCTATAAATTAGTTTCGGCCCTAATAAAAATATTTTATTGACAGTTATTAATACTGTACAGATGTTATTTTGTCATTGCCATTTGTGCAGCAACTGCCACATATGTTACTCATAATATTTTGTTCTATTCATCCGTTTTGGTCCTGTAGGACCCGATACTTGGGATATCTTTTCTTTTACTTTCGGTATGTTTTATGTAATTTAGTCAATGTTGTACTGTTTCTTTTGAAAGAAGATAACATTCACAGATCTGGAACGTTTATATATTTTTTTTATTAGAATTTTAACAGTCCGTAGTTTATAATATTACTTCTAACAATTTAACAAACAATACCGTTAATATTGCTTGTCTCGTTTGAACGTCGTTGAAGAAATATTTTCAGAATCACATTAGGCATATTATATTATTTTAATAATAATTCGAATTAGTGTAGTGTAGTGCAATGTAATTATTTTCAGCAAATACGATAGAACTATATTATAATTTATAAAGGGTATTTGGTGATGTATATAACTTGCTTATAGCTATGTGTCCGACTTCTTGTATGAATAACGTCATAATTTAACAGGTTCCGTATACAGTATAAGCATAAATATAATCGAGAAGCTTTAACTTAATATCACGATTGCGTTATACCAGTTTTTCCTTGCAGTGCGCCGCCGTCGCGGTCTCCTTATAGTATGGCTATAATGCCGCGGTAGGAGTGGTAGAGTTAATGTCCAGTTGTTTTTCTCTTTCTCTTCTATAGAATCGGTGGTCATTATATTATTATACGCCTACGTATTTAATGTGTTGCATTCATCAAGAAAGTATCGTATATACTTATCGCACTGGCTATTAATATTTTTTTAAATCTTTCGGATATTTCGATAAAACTTGACAGTTGATAAGAGCTCATATACCACTCGCTAGTGTCCTATCTTTTAATTGGGCCACTATATAAATGGTCAGAGTCCTTTTTGTATAAGACTAACCGAAAACAGTTGTGTTGGTGCACTATACTATTTTATATCGTTTCTTCTCAGTTTTCAACCTTCATATTATATACCTTACAATATTAATATGTTATCTAATGTATGATATTATATAGTTGAGAAAAAACGCGATTTATCTTATTTTAAAATATTATATTAGTTGTATAATGTTTTACATGTTTTATTACTTCTTGATAATTGTATATTATAATCTTAGTTGTATTTTAAATAAATGTCGGTTTTGAACCATAGTATATAGGAGTTATAAATGTGCTCGATTTAGTTAATCCAAGAAACTATATTCAGTTTATGTTTGTTTTCCGGAAGTGTGCATGTTCTTCGCTGTATTCTATTAAATTTTTTTAGTTGTGGGTTATAAATTAAATTTAAAAAAGGATATTTTTCGTGTCTTGTTCAGGACAAATAAAATAGATTCTGTTATACTAAAGTGATATCGACAAAGAATAAAAACAAGTAAGAAAATTAATAATACGTTTTAAAAAATATTCTTATGAGATAGTTAGTGTAATATTTGTTTAATAATCACTTAAAGTTTTAACTTAATTCAAATAGCTGCTGTATCAGTGTACTGTGTTGTTCTATTTTTGTTTTTATTTAAAATATCTTTTTAGAAATTATTCGTAAATATCTGCCAACAAATGTTATTCCAGTATAATATTATTATTTTCAAACTAGAATCTACAAATTATATATACATTGCATTTGAAATATATATATATATTTACGACTCTAGGAATTTAGCAAAAATAAAAAAATGTTTTCATACAAACTGTAAGTACGAGTTAAACAGTAATAATAGGAAAAGTATAAGGTATTATTTTTAAAGAAATTCTAGGGATTATACATTTGCAGCTCGAAGCATGCATGAGTAAGATATGGTCGTACTAGTAAGGTACGTTTGGTATAGTTATGACTACATTTTATAGGAGTGAGATGGAGTTATTCGAAATAAAACGTTAAAAAAGTGAGTACCGCTCTATTATACTACACGGGAGTCGATTGGATCACTAATGGTTGTGTTAGGTAAATTTGAATTAAATGTTATAAAATCATTGTATGTAAAAAACGATTCTGAGCGAAAACGGTCTGTCAGCCTATATTATTAAGTATATTTTATAATACCTATTATTGTTATTAAAATAATTCATTTTAATAAACTTAAATTTTAAATTTTATACCTAATTATAAATTGCAAAATTTAAATAAAAGCATTACTTAAAAAAAAAAAATTAGATGAATCAACCAGTATATTACTATATCAATAAATGCATATTAATTTATATATTTATGTACTTACGAAGAATGTACTAAAATTTAAAATTGTTCAAAGTTTAACTACGATAAATAAGTTTAATCACAATAGTTCAACTAGAATGAATTAGGTATTATAAAAATAATATCAAACTCATTTATTAAAATACATTAGCATATTGCACCGTCGTTTGTAGAAGTTGTGTTGCTCATTCACATAATATAATGTATTATGGTAGCCGGTAGGTATATTAAAAATAATAATCTTGGTGGAATTTTACATAAGATATTTTTGAACTAAAAGTTTCGAGTGCGCGTGCCAATTTAAACTTCCAAATGTAATAAATTCTTTGTAATATTTTATTATTATTTTTTGTATAATGTAGGTATAATATACCTATACTATTCCAAATTTCAATCATATTCATCATTTTAAGAATTGTTC